AAAAAAAGGAACATTATATTAATGTTCTGAAGTTATATATAGCTCAGAATTATGATGTAAGAGAACGAGGCATATAGCAGACAGCAATTACAAAGAAATATAACAATATTATACTACTGATTCTCAAGTTTTCTTATCTAATATACACGTGTTTTTAATGAAAATACTCTTTCTTGTAAATTAATCCAAAATTTGGCCCCTCTTTTAAAATCATATTTCACTTGATGGTACTCGCAGTTAAATAGAAAAGGGGAGAAGTGCTAGAAAGATATTAAACAGTTAAGAGCATGTACTGCTCTTCTGTAAGACCCAAAATTTATTCCCAGCACCTACACTGAGCAGCTTACAACTGCCTATGAGTTTAGTTCCAGGGGATCCAGTGCATTCTTCTGGCCTCCACAGACAACCATACATAAAACACACACACACACACACACACACACACACACACACATGCACAGGCACAGGCACACACACAAAATAAATCTTAAAAAGTAACAACTAAATCACACTTTAATTTCTGGAGCTAAAATATAACAGAGTTTTTAAGCAACTTTACGTCTCATTTTCCTGACAATCCGGTTAGGCAGGAAAGGTATTTTTCTTGTCTGCCTGCAGCCCCAATTTATAGATTTACCTGTAGCTGTAGAACCCTGAGTCACACCTCCACATCCTTGCCCCCACATGAAAATCTTTTCTTCATCTCACATGATACATTGATTTTCAAATAGTTTGCTAAGCAGTGCATTTCTTACCGAATATGCTCACTCACCCCAAAAACATACCATCTCTTTTTGTACATCCTCCTAACAGATAGGCAGAGCTGAACACCAAGTGTTTTTATGAACAACTCCAAAAGTCAATTATCCTTGCAAAAATGACAAAATTGATACACACTAAAAGAGCTGTGTATGTAAGAGGATGATCAAGCTCATAAGGGGTCAGAAATCCGTGAAGAGTGGCTGAAGAGGGGTGGGGAGAGAGCTGCACACTTGTCCCGTGACGAGTGGCTGGAGAGTGGTCTCATGTGTATGGTCTGTCACCAAACATAAAGGAATCATCTATGGAGTACAGAAACGGTGGACACAACGCAGCAAACATTCACGTGCTTCTAGCACTGTGATAAACACCATGGCCAAAAGCACCCTGAGAGGAAAAGATTAATTTCATCTTACAACTTCCAGGTCACATCCATCACTTAGAGAAGTCAGGGAATCAACTCAAGGCAGGAACCTCAAGTCAGAAGCTGATGCAGAGAGACTACAGAGGCATGCTGCTTACTGGCTTGCTCCGTGTGGCTTGCCCAGCCAGCTCTCTTGTGTGACAAAATGGCCCCCACAGACTTACCTACAGGCCAATGTGAGGGAGGCACTTTTCTCAACTGAGGTGTCCTCTTTTCAGATGAGTCTAGCTTGTCAGGTTAACAATGAACTAACCAGCGCATCCAGTCTAACTGATGCTTAGGTATACCAGGAATACAAAGATGAATAAGACAAGCACCAATCTTCAACAGGTTAAGACTATCAAAGGTGACAAGAAAATAAGTAATAAAAGATGAAAAGTGTTTTTAAACACTACAGGAACACAGAAAATGGCAACCATTAACTCTCTGGGAGAGAAGCCCACAGAAAAATTTCCGATAAGAAAGGAGTTAAAGAAGTAGGATGGAGCTTTAACAGGAAAAAAAGAACAGCATGTGCAAAGGCCTGAAGGCACAAAGCTCCGCAATTAATCTGGAGTGGGAGAACAAAAGGTACATGCAAGAGTGATGAGGGGAGACAATTAAATAGGGATTGGTGGGGACTGTTAAAGAATGTGCAAGATCTCACAATCTCTATCCCAAGGTGTTTAGACTATGAAATTATGGGATATTTATTAATAAGACATTTTAAGTGGGAGTTCAACACTTCACTATTGCTAGTTTAGGTGTGGATAAAGATGACAAGATACAGACAGAAGAAACCCCTAGGAGGTAAAGGTCAAACAGAGTAAGGTTTTTCTGGATCTTAATTCAGAAGAGTAGACAGACAATGATGACTACAATGGATGATATAAGACAAATCCACGCCATCATTCTAATGATGTCCTGGCCAGGGACTGGTTCACTGCCACTGAGAAAAAGGGATGGAGGAAGAGGAGAGAGCAGTAGAGGTGAGTCTAGCTTTGGGCCTGCATCGGCGAAGCTCCCAAGTGCTGAGTGAGGGGAGGGTCATTGGTATACTGACAAAAATCAAAGAAGGAGGAATGAGACAAACATTAGAAATCAGTATTTAAGAGACTAAAAAATGTGAAAAATAAAAGAAGAAACCATGAGAAAAAAACAAACACTAAATCAGTGATAAAGGCTGATGCTGATAAAGGCAAGGAAAGACCTAAAATTGAAGAGTGGAACACTGAACATTACTCTAAACATGAGACAAGATTTCCTAACAGACATTAATAAAAACAGAAACAGACCACCCTGTGAGGTAGTGTCAAATCAGGTAAATGCCTGTCAGAATGTGTGGGGTCCCTCTGCGAAGAATGTCAACCGAGAACATTGGCAAGTCACAGGGTACTCAGACAATTCATCTTCCCCAGGGATCACCACAGATCTTCGCAGTAACCAGTCTTCCCTTCCTAAACCCTGACTGTGTGCTTCTTCACTTCCAATCCTTCACCACTGCTAACCGTTTTCTATCATAACCCCCCACGAGCGTTTTTCCCTCCTTCCACGTGCCTAAATGGCCACGCTAAGATGGCAAACACTCATTTATCCTATGTGCCCACCCATCCTTTTCTCTATCTACTACTGAGCATCATCACTCTCCTGCCAAAAGAAAAGTCAGATATTATTCTTCAAAAACAAGTAAACAAAATACTAGCAAATAACATCTGATTTACACACAGCTTCACCCAGCAACTGCGTCCTCAGTTCTCCATCCCTTCATCTCCCACAGCTCCGAACAGAACAGCCCCTGCTGACTGCAGTGACTTTTTTTCACTTTTGTAGTGTGACAGAAGGGTTAACAGAAAATATTTTTTAAGAAGCATAAGCAAGCCTATGAGGGAGAACCAGACCTGTGCTCCAGACTCCTCTGCATCACTAGCCGTGGGCCTGCTAACTCCCACGCCATCACCACCTCAGATCAGAGAAACCCTGACACTGGCTACGAAAATCACACCCACACACACTTTCTCAAAGCCTGTTCTCCTTTGCCGTGTTTACCAATCACTTGACTCTGTAATCAGTAGAGGAGTAGGTATCTTCCCTACCTATACTCCAGACTGCAAACTCCATAACGGCAGAGAGCAAATGCCTTGCACCTCATCCCTGCAAAATAAACTCACTGATTGAGTTAATGGTAAAATAGATGTTAAGATCCCTTCCTAAGAAACTGCTTACTTTTTTTTAACATAATAAAATGACCAGCACAGTGAGCCACCGAGCCTGAGGAACTGAGTTCATTCCCTAGGACCCACATGCTAGAAGAGCAGACGCCTCCAAAGTTGTCCTCTGACCAACACACACACGCCATATACAACAGGTAGGTAGACAGGTAGGTAGGTAGGTAGATAAAATGTAACGCAAATGTCTAAATTCCGGCATTGTTTTGCCTTATTTTACTTTTTTAAAAGGTACTGGCAAAATTTTAAACATAAACAACAGCTATGACCTCAAATACATAATGAGCTATAAGTAAACTTAAATAAGAAATTTAGAAAGTAAGAGAAACTTGTTTTCCAAAATGGATACATTCCTCTTGACTGTTCCCATGAAAAGAAACTATTCAGTTACTTACATTTCAGGTCGGAAAACTGTGCCCAAAACTTTGTTCAAGATAAATGTTCAAGGGCACATCACAATATCAATGATCTTAATGTAACATTAGCACTGTTGTTTAGCAAAATTCCAAAGTTTATCAGCCAAATCATATTGTAACGTGATTTTAATGATTTCATAATAATCAGAGGAAAACAAGTTTTTGGTTTAGCAATTACGAGTTGCCACTGCGTGGGATCAGGTGACCTTCATGTGTAAAAATGGAAAGCTCATCAAAGTACGTGAGAGTTTTGTCGAGCCGTGTGGCACACCACCTTAGGTAAACACGCTGAGAAAGCACCGGGCAGTTTGCCCTTCAAGTGTTGACTGAGCCCTGCTCCTCAACGACCAGGGGTTTGGCCCCCTTAAAAAAGAATGCAGGTAATTCCAGTAATGCATGAACACACACACCAGGAAAAAAAAAAAGCTGGAAATGTATGTGTCTACACTGCCGATAGAGACAATTAGACAGACATCTAAAAATCCGACGCCTGAAAGTCTTCGCAGGTTGAGGGTGGTGAACACTGAGCTAGTTAAAGCCCCGGTAAAGAGGCGTTTCGTAACGGAAGCACTACTCGACAGAATCACTTGGAGCCGCTCTCCGCGGCGTCCGCATGGCTAAGTCAACAGCGCTTGAGGGGGCTAGTATACCCTCGTCACCCCCTCTCTGCCAGACTGGTCTCCAGGCGCTGGGCGAGCGTCCCTCGACATCCGACCGCGCTCCCCTTCAGGAGCTGGCCAACCCGTGACCAGGCCAGAAAGAAAGGATTCAGGCCCCCTCCTCCATCCTTTCCTAAAATTAATGAATTGGCCGCACGATTGTTTATTTAATGAGGTGTGTAGTGGCCTCTACTGGTGCTTGTGCGAGCACAAGAATGTCCCACTCTTACAAGTGGGATGAGCCTGGGGGAGGGGAAGGAGCCTGGGCGAGGGGTGAACCTGCCTCCCGGTACAAAGCGCGGACCCGGACCCCGGAGCTCGGGGCCCGGCGCGGAGGAGCCCCTCCCCGGCGGGGTGCCCTCCTCCCCGCTCCGCTCTCCGCCACGCGAGACCCTCTTCCTCCGCCGCCCCCGGAGCCGGGGCGAGAAGTTCCCGCACGCTCCGCTCCGGATCCTCAACAACAACAGAACCCCGCCGCGGCCGGGGAGTCGGCGCCGCGCCCCGGCCCCCGCGGCGTCCCGGGCCCGGCCGCGCTTACCTGCGGGCGGCGGCGACGAGCCGCCCCTCACGGCCGCGACGCCGGGGAGCAGCAGCAGCAGCGGCAGCAGCAGCGGCGGCGGCGGCGG